AACCCACTGCCACAGGGGCTGCAGCCTACGCTGTCGCCGACGACTCACGGCAGCCCAGCTCCAGGTTGAGCTGTTGTTCAGCATCTTAGCTGTAGAGAGCAGTGTCACTGGCCCTCATATGTGGGATCCGAACCGGGGCCCTCTGGCATCCCAAGCCAGTTCTTAACCATTGCACCACTTGGCCGGCCCTGTGTAACTTTTGTCAAGCTGCTTGTTTAACCTCTCTGAGCCTGTTTTCCCCTCTATAGAATGAGGCTGATCATACCTTATCTGACAGGATTGTAGTTAGAAATATGAGTGCCAAGTACAGCGCCCTACACATAACAGGTATTCAATAAATGGCAGACCTTTAATAGTAACTCCATCCTTTGGCTTATGCTTTATTTAATTTAATTATTGCGTCAGCTGCCAGTCATGTCTTGGTTATATTCACAAAGTACTTCCCTATGTCCTTCTGCTTTGTTTTTTTCAGTCTGCCTTAATTATAGAAAAGACCTAGTCTTCCTTTTTACCTGGATGTGAGAACAAAGGCTGTTGGCTGAATCACCTGTGCTATTAGATCCCTTCGTCTAGGTGTTACTGTGAACGTTTCAGAAAGAGTTGATACGATTTTAGCAGTGGTAGCTAAACTGAACTCTTTCCCTGTAAAGATTGTAAAGTTACATTTATTTAGAGCCTGTCCCTCCCTTGCCTTCTAGGATTTGGTAATCTGCATTTGGGAACTCAGCAGGTTGTGGGCAAGTTTAAGGGAGAAGCAATATGGCTGATTCTTCTGTTGCCATATGTAGACTGATGAACCCTGGAAGGATACAGGGTAGGAATTGGCTTGAACTAGCTATTTTGGAACTTAGCAAAATTTCCATCAGCAAAAACTGCAAGGAAAATCAGTGGTGAGTTGGTCACTTGGATTTGTAAGGGACATTCTTTCTGCACACCCCCAAATTTAACTTTTATTATATTTTGAAGGTACTGGGGCTCTAGTGTGCCTGATTTTAGTAGGGGTCCAGAGCAAATGCATTGTTTTTATGTAAGTCCTTGGGGTTGACTTTGAAACGAAAAGGAACAAGAGCTGCATTTCCCCACCTGTATTTTTGGTGGTGTGAACGAATGTGGCTTCCCGGTTGACACAAACATTAGCTTCAATCCCCGTGATACACCGATGAGAATGTGGTTGTGTCTAAAGTGGGGAGTCTTGACTCTTGAGAAATCTCTGATAGCTTCCTCATTGAGAGACTTGGCAAAAGGAATTGCTTGAAGACCTCTGAAAGCAGCTCTGAAATGTTTTTTGGGTGAGAATGGATGCTAAAATAGCATCTTTAGAAAGCACCACCTTGTTGACATGCGTTTTTAATTAGACTGTGAGCACTGCAGTACCTATTTGGTACCAGCCTGCCTGCCTGCTTTCTGACCTGCATACCATTTTCTCTGATGGTGGCTGTGGCTGACACTGATGCCTCATCGCTCTCTGCTAGAGCCACCAGATGTTCAGGAGCCTTCATTATTAGGCTAGAGGGAAATATTGTCTGTTTATAGCTGCTCCCTTTCCATCTGCAGGGAAGGATATCAACACCTTACCTGTGATTTGGCATCCTAACTCTTGACAAGTGATAGACATTTGTTTGGCCAGCAGTTTTACAGCCAGAATTGTAACTGGGACTGGAGGCATCCTTAGTGACTTGAGGCCGAGCCTGCCAGCGTAGAAAAGACAAATAAATATGGGGAGTCATTGGTAACACAGTAAAACAGATTACAGAAGTGCTCAAAGCTAACCATGGGCATTAAAGGTACCAATGTCCTTCTTCAAGCCATTTGGTACCCTTGGTGTGGAGAGCACTGCCAAGGTAATGATGGAGTGTCGAAAGAAAAGGCACTGGAGCTAGAAGGATAATTAGCATTTCCACAGATGGTGCTGCTATGGTGTTGGATGAAAGGCCTGATTTCATTCCTTTCACCTTTGTGGATTGATGCCCAACGTCAGTGTTGCCCAGCTCTGCTCAGAAAAGAGATTTCTTAAAAATGAAGATTCCCTTGAAAACAAAGTGGAATGATAGACTGATGAGAAGCTTACTCCAAATAACCCATGGGAAATGGGGATATCCATTGACCTGCTCTATCTGAACAGGACTTAGAGCATTTACAGACCTCCATGGGAACTGGTAGGAGGTCTCTTTACTGCCCAGACCTCTTGTGGTGAACTTAGGACAACCGGTGTGCAGGCAGAAAAGTGTACTGTCAGTAAAGAACCTGGGATAAGTTCTAGGTCAGTGTGTATGAGTCACCTGGAGGTCTTGATAAAATGCAGATTCTGGTTCAGGGGGCCTGGAGTGGAGCTCAGTATCCTGCATCTCTAAGCACCTCCCAGGGGCTGCTGGTTGGGCCACACTTTTAGCAGGGATGTTATATAGGTAGAATTACCTGAGAGTGAGTTTTCTCTGCAGTGGAAGCCAAGATTATAAGAAAATCAATGAGAATTGAATGAGCTTTAAAATGTGGGGAGCTTTATCGTTTTTAATTCATTTTTCCTCTTACTATCTTTAGGACAGCTGCCTTTTCTCCTTTCTTCCAACAGCCCACTAACTGCTACTTCATTTTCTTTTGTAAGTTCTTGCCTCACCAGAGGCATCATCCAACCCCTAGGCCCCTGTTGAAGCTACTCATAAACCTCAGTAAAACCTGTGAGTTTCCTTTAGAAGATACTAGATTCATAGCTGGAGCCATTGAATAAGTATATTAAAATAGGAACTCTGATTCCTGCGTACTTACATTGAGCCAGGCCTATATAAACATATTAGAGCTGCCTCCGCAGGCTGACAGATGGGGAAGAATCCTGGCCTGTCATGAACTTGTTTGATGGGGTTTTCTCACTTGGCAAGGAGATAGTGGGACCTACCCTCGAGGGTTGGTGTAAAGATTAGATGAGATAATTCCTGGAAGGTGCTTTCAAGAGTGGCCGGAGCACGGAGTAAGCATTTTGGGATTGGGAGGTTGTAACATAATTCAGTTCCTGCAGCTCCCTGTGACTTGCCTTGGCAGAGCAGGCTCAGTGAAATAGCTATTGGCTCAAAGGGCCCCCAATGCAATAGTGATTAAGCCGGAATCTGTCCGACTCCAAGCCTGTTTTCTTAACTGCTCCATTAAACGGACTCCCTATACATCGTGGATTCAGGTAGTACTAAGTAACTCACAAAATGAGGCTAATAGCTAAGGTTTGTGTCCTCAAGGAGCTTGTGTTCTGAGAGTTTCCATGTCTTCCCCAACGTCCAGCAAATGAAGGTGAAGATTTGACAGGCTACTTTGTACTGATTGTAAAACCTTTAAGTTATATGTGATTGTATTGCTGTAGGAGTGATAAGTTTCACCCTACAGATATCAGTGAGCAGGGAACCTTGGAAGTCAAGTTCAGAAGCAGTCCCACACATATATCTGGGGAGGGAGAATGGGAGAGGGGACTTGGATTTGGGTGGAGTGGGCTTGTCCCCAGGATGTCTTGATCGGTTCGCTCTTTAAATGGCGTCCCTGAATGATGGGCAATTTTGGCCTAATGGAGAGTAGTCCCTTTGTTCCTACCCTAGTTTGGCCTCCAAAGACCTGGCCTTGACTGCGTCGCCCTCCTGCTACCCGCCTCCTATGGGCACCCATTTGTGGTCACCACTGTAGCATTGATTTGTGACAGTGGTAAGCCTGCCAGCCCACTAGAGAGGGGCACGGGTGGCTGGGGTTCGCTCTGTTTTCTAGTCTAGTCCCATGTGGCACTGCCCCTTGTTTGAGGGTAATTGCCAGTCTGCCACTGTTTATTCTGTGGTAGCCTTTCTTTCACTTTCATCCTTTTTCTTAAGGCTGTTCCTTTGAGTAACTACAACAAATTTTTAAAATACTTAAACAAGTATGAATTTAATGGTTGGAAGTATGTTAGATTGAAGCTTTTCCTACAGTGGTTGGTACACTGTAGGCAGGTGAGCTTTCGGAGTGAATGAATTGGCGTAGAGAAGTGCGAAACGAAAGGCCAGCCAGTAAATGCTAATTGTATGTGAATTATGGGCAACTGTTGTTATCAGGACGATCTCTCCATAGGGACTGGCTGTAAAGATGGTAGCACTGATTCACCCTGAGCTTCTGTTCCTTAGCTGGCATCCCCTTGCTACCTGGGGGTGCCTGTGTCTGTCCGGCTTGGCCATTCACACACTCTTTCTGGGTGAGTAGGACATTAGGACTTATACTATTAAAGGTCATATATACGAGATGTTGTGGAGGGGAGCTGTGAACCTAGTCTAGTTGCTTACAGGGTGTTTTCTGTCACATGTACGCCTTGGTTTAATTGTTTGATGATCAGTTAGATTCTGCAAATCGTGTCCCCACTGAAGCAAACCTATGCAGAGGGACGCCTTCTGATTTAAGCCAATTAAGAGATGTTTTGTGTCGGTGCACTGATTCTGAGAGGAAGACTGATTTTCTTCTCAGGTGCCTTCTCCAGGGTTGCCACACTCCCAAGGCCTGAGTTTCAGTTCTGGAAGTTTGATTTTTGTCAGTGCGCCCAGATTGAGCCCTTGGGACTCTTTCTGGCCAAATTCACAGGATACTGATGTTATGAATGCCAGCCTGTTGCTTCCGGTGAATAATGAGTTTCCAGCAGACTCATACCCAGATGATCAGGACATCCTATTCTATGAAAATCTGCCTTAGAAGTCAACTAGGCACAGCTGGGATTGGAACAAAGGGAGTGAAGTATCTCATCTTACCATGTAGTTTGGGGGCCATGATGCTCACATGTTGCTTTTCCCCTCGAATCCCGTTTTCCACCTGGACCACTGGCTGGGCCTGCTCTCTGCTCGATCCCCTGTCCTGGATGGTGGTGGGGACATACATGCTAATAAATTTTACAGGCTTCTTCCTTCTGCTGATATAATTGATTAGGTTATTGCTGTGACTAGGCTAATAAAATGTATTGCTTTTCACCATTGCATAAGAATTCCATTATATTTTTGGATTCGTGAGTGATGCATTGATGATCTTCTGAGTTTATTGGCCATCATTGGACTGGGTTATTCAGATCTTCAGCTGTACCTT